TTTCTTTTAATTATAACATAATTACATAACTCTTCCCTTCCCTTTTCTCATTCCAATCACTCTCATGCCACCCCTGAAATTGATGACTTATTTTTCTTTATTGTTATTACACACACACACACACACACACACACACACACACACATACACACACACACGTATATACATACAACCCGCTGAGTCTGGGTAGTGAGGTTTGTGTGTTATGTGATTTCGGGGCTGACTACTTTGCATTGTATAATCAATCTCTCCCAGGGGTCCTTCACTGGGAGAAACTAATTCTCCCTCTCTCTCTACAGCCTTTAGTTATCTGACAACTACTCTGATTGTCCAGGTCTTGTTTAGGTAGACATCTAGTTCTGGTGTCATGGACATAGCTTCCTTTTCATTCCTGGGTGACCAACTCATACAACAGACTTCCTACTCCTCTGCCTCTTCTAGTCTTTCTGCCCTCGCCCCCATCTTGTTCACAGAGACCTAGGTGCAGAAGATGTGATAGCTTCCTTCTTGCTAACTGGTATATTTACTCTGTGGCTGCCACATTCCTCCACTGATGTTAGGATCTGTTTCACTGGGGCTCAAATATAGACTGACGACCAGCATCTCTCTAGGAATCCTTCTGGCCTTGAGGACCATACTGGTACTGCTGAGATTTCCAGTCTAGTCGATTGAGCAATTGCCATCTCGGCCATTTCACAGAGTGCTTGACTTCGTCAGCAAATGCAGAACCTTGGTTCCCGACTCCACACCTTAGGAACTCTTACATTTTGAGTGCCTGCAAAAACAATACCACATTGGCACATAACTTCTGCTGTCAGCTTGAGATGACATGTACCTACACTTACTGAACCTGCAGAAGCTTCTAATGAGTCTGGTAAAAAAAAAAAACCAGCTGGGTTTTTAGGAGGTTTTTGAACAAGGAAAACAAAACAAACCCTGGTGTTCTGCTTTCAGCCACTCTCTTACTGCATTTTTATACTTTGCAGCCTTTTATTGATGTGGGAAGGCCTAGCCCTCTGTGGGTGGTATTACACAGGTCAGGTGATCCTGGGATGTATAAGAAAGTCTGAGCAAGTCATGGAAAGCAAGGCAGTAAGCAGATTTCCTCTGTAGTCTCTATGCCAGTTCTGCCTCCAGGCTTCAATTCCTTCCCTGGTTTCCTTGATGACTGACTGTGACCTATGAGCAGAAATAAAACCTTTGTTTCCCCCAGTTGCTTCTGGTCAGCGTTTTATTGCAGCAACAGAGAGGCAAACTAGAACAGATGCCTACTCTATGCAATTTCCAATAGTGTCTCATTGGACCCAGGCCTGGTTCTTCTTTGAGTTTTATGACTTCTTGTTACTGAGGTCTTCTCTGACATTTACACACTCAGGATTTTACAAATTTTAAACATTACTTGTTGTATGTTACGAGGTGTTTTCTTGTTTCCCTGTCTTTGCCTGATATTTCCTTTCTTGCTTCATTGCCATCAAGACCAATCCCTTAATGCTCCCCACTCCTTTACTGATTCTGTAAAGACTAAGATGTGTCTCAGGGTAGCAGATCCAGTACACTGCTTGCTTTATTTTTCTTTCAAAAGCCTATGCAGAGAATAGCAGCAAAGCAGAAGTCTTGAGTGTTAGAGTTAGTACCTATAGTGCTGGATGCAGGAGGCAGATGTAAACAACAGAGTGGTTTTCCAAAAACCCCATGGCTGTAAGACGGAACCCAGAAGCAATGCAGACCTTCAGATGTTCTTATGGAACTGTGTCCAAGCGACAGTGAAGTCTCATGACAGCTTCATCAATAATTATAGCCCAAAGTTTCCATAGAGTTCTGTTTATAAATCTGGATTGTGTCATATTATGTGAGGATACCAATTAGCTGAAAGACTGGTCTTTGACAGTGTGGCCACTCACTGTCTGCTTATTGCTAGTACACAGCTGTTGTATGCATGGCTCCCCCTTAACTCAGTGGGGTTAATGACTGTGTAATCTGCCTAGACTCCCATAGGAGAACTGCAATCCCCAGCAGTTCCCTGAGCTTTCAATTGTTACATGAGCTATTTGCCCCAGAGACTTCATACCCTGACTGGGAAGTGTTTCTGGAGCTGCCTGAGGAACACCCCAGGTGAACACATGCCACAGACACAGCTGATGAGTGTCCCAGTGCTCCACGGCAGCCAAATATTAAAAATGAAGTGTTAAAACACATCTTTTTCTGCCGTAATAATAATCAGAAAACTTTATCTTGGTGTATCACAATTCCTAATATAAACTTGGATAATTATTTATTAACTTTTCTTAACTCTAGATATTTGGTTAAAATGATTTAGCATACATGCTCTTATCTAGTGTGAAAAATATTTTAATATATAAATGTTCTTCCTGAAATTCAATTTGTAATCTAAATTTCAGTATAAAGGATAGCAAATTGAAGTAACTCAACCATAGAAGTCAAATTAACTTAAGTTTTAAATGTTAGTTGAAAAAAACCAAAATCTCAAGGTAAACAAAGGATCACTCTACAGGCATAATAAGATGCAGGATTAAGACAGGCACTTTGTTAATTCAAGCTAAAAATCTCCTTTCCTGTAACTTTAATGAATATTTTAGAGAAAAGTACTGAAGTCAAACTTTATCTTTAAAATTGCCTTGGCTATTACCACGGGTTTCTATCGAATAAACACTGGCAATATGACTTTCCCAAAGAAGTTTATAATTTACATTTTAGTATTTGTCGCAGACTATTAGATTTACAGACTTCCATTGCCAACCTCCTCTTAATTAAGACAGTACTGGATAACGGGATTAACAATTACTTTTAAGTAAGACTGTGTCTCCTTCATAGTGACAGGTCACAGATGTGACTCTTAAGCCATAGCAATGCTTAAGCAGCATCAATTTAACCTCATATGGATTATTTTTAAATATGGTTTCATGCTCCATACCAAGGAGGTTTCAAACTCCATTCTCCTTTGCCTTCTGAGTAATGAGAATAGGGCACAGAAGTTTTGGAAGAGACTAGCAGTCACACAGTCCCTCCGTGCAAGCTTCTGCATTTTACAGTTCTTTGCAAGCTAAGACTGAGGAACAGAGTCAGTTTAGTGTATCCTGCCTCTACTTTTAGAATGAATTCTATAGCAAGTGTCTAATCTCTGTGCATACATCCCTGATTATGCGAGAGTGCTTTAGTCCATGGTCCTGAAGATTTGCTGTGAAGGAGTCATGGTTGTTTTACAAGGTCCATTTCAGATATTCACCATAGCCCTGATGGATCCCAATCCATACCAACATGCCTCAGGCTAACTATGCTTTTTAAAATATCTTCAGCTGGGCCAGATATAGAGCAGAGGAATGAACCACATGAAGATGACTAACTTGGAAAAGGAATTGGTCCAAATTTGAAAATTCATAGATTTATTTCAATGCAGATGTTTACATTAAAAACAGTTTTTGACAGTCTTTCCTGGGTAATTTTTATATTCTTGTCAATGACTGTAGCTATCTCTGCTACACTTTATCTCTGTCCTTGATCTAAACAAACGGCAACATCCTGTTGGAAATGGTGTTACTGACATAAAATATATAGATAGCCAGTGATGTCTTGCAGTGACCAACTGTGATGATCTCCTATGAATTGTTTTCAAAAAAAGTTTTGCTTGTAATTTAAAGAGCAGGAATTCTGATTTACTATCTCCCAAAACATTTTATCCTCATTAAGAGGACACTAGAGTCCTTAGCAGAAATGCAAAGATCTGGGTCTGAAACAAACCACTGTAGTTCAGAGAATAGAGGAGTCTCAAATGCAGACTGAGTGCTGTGGGTGGGTCTGTGCTTCATCAAGAAGGATGCAGCTTTCTCACTCCTGGCGTTGGCTAGGGAGATGTACACTTACCACTCATTCCTTGCCCCGCCCGCTCTGTTCCTACAGTCCCTTTCTCCCTCTGTCTTGTCCCTGCCCTGCCACTCTCCCTCACTCCCATTTCCATTCTCTTCGTTTGTTTCATCTCCTCTTCCCTCCCCCTCTTCATCTCTCCCCTCTGTCCTTCCATCTGTCTCTTCAGTCTTTCCTTGGTCCCTTCCTTCCTTCCTTCCTTCCTTCCTTCCTTCCTTCCTTCCTTCCTTCCCGTCTTCTACTTCCTGCCCCCCTTTTCCACCTTCTCTCCCCATCACCATCATTTTTTACATTCTTCCCATCAGTTTATCTCTCGCCCTACTTCTCTCCCTTCCATCCCTTTATTCATCTGCTTTTCTGTTTTCCTTCTTCCCCCTCCTTCTCTCTCCCCCTTTCCCTAGCCCTGCTCTTTCCTTTTTCCTTCCTCCCCTCTCCCTTTCTCTTTCCTCCCCTCTCCTTTTCTCTCCCTCTTCCTCTTCACCATTTCTCTCTCTCTCCTCTCTTTTCCCTGTCTTCCCTTCCTCTCATCTCATCCCTCCCCTTCTCTCCCTGCCCCCTTCCTTCTCTTTCCCTCTCACATAATGCTCTCCACTCAGGGCAGTTCCTTTGACCTAAACAGATTATCGTGGCTCTTGAAGGGCAGTCATGACACAGCCAGCCAGCCCAGCCTTTCAAGGAAGAGATTTGTATCCAAATAGGACACTAAGCTTCTGAGCCTTCTGCTTACTTACCTTGTCAGCAGGAAGCCTGTCTCTGGGTGCTCCACAGACTCCTGGGGATCTGGAGAGAAACAGAAGCCTGTGTCAGTCGCTGCAAATGTGGGAGTCTGTGCCATTAAAAGGAGCAGTTGTTAATAAGGGCCCGTGAGACCTGGGTTTCCTCGGTTTCCATGACAGTTATTAGGTACCGTCGAAATTGAATTGTCTCCCATGATGCTCTTAGGGGAGGGGGATGCATGAGTGACAAAGCGGTGCAGTTATGACTTGCAGTAAATCGTCCTTTGGATAATGTAATACTCCTTGGGTTATCTCTCCTTACATATTTTTAAAAAAATCTCCTTTCCGTGTGCTTGGCTACTGCTGTTCAGTGTCTCCAACACTATTTTCCTCCTTTTTATTTAGATCCAAGTTTGGCAAAGCAAGGATATGAACAGTTCTGCAGGTGGGCTTCTCAGGGCGAGCGAAGCCATAAGGCATCCAATCAGGGTCTGGCCACCTGCAGCCTTGCCAATATGCCCCTCCACCAGATTTCTGTAATCCCAGCCCGGGAGACTGCCAGCAATGGGAGAAGTTCAATGGGCAGAAACAAAGAGAAGAACAAGGAAGTCGAGGTAAGACAAGGTTTGATTTGACACATTAAGAGAAGCCACACAGCCAGCTCTGCTCTGTCTGTACAATAGGATATAGCCTGAATTGAAGAGCAGCTGGCACCCAGCACCGCGTACACTAGCAGACTGAATCACTTCTTGTGTGACTAAGGAGCTTATAAATCTTAACTTGTATTTTTTTCTGAATGAAGCAAGGAACCGAATCTATAGAGATACTTGGTGCGTAATAGATGTAAAACTTCTGCCTCATTTGTTGAACTCTGTGGAATCTTTTCACTGATTCTTGAGTTCCAACCAGGAGGTCCTGGGTTGCTTGTACATAGTATTGTTCTTCATTTTTGGAGTGGTTGATGCTAATTGTGTCCAGCTGGAGGGTTTGAAAATAACTTTCTTCACAAAGCAGCGTATCTTCCTGGTCTAAGAAAGCTCAATATCTACTGTATACTGAATTAGTGCTTGCAGATTCACTGTTCACCATTCCTTATGTCTTGTGTATGGGAGTTTGACTTTGATGTGTTGTCTGTTTACATTTTATTTAAGAAAGAGTTGTTTAAAACTTAACGCAGCCTACAATGTTAACTGTATTACATTCAGACTTTATTCTGGAGTAGAATTAGCAGCCATTCCTATAAGGTTAAACTGCATGAAAATTCAGATACTTGAAACTCATTTCAAAGAGTTCCTGAAAAGAGTCTGAGCAGAGACAAGGGTATTGCATGAAATTCTTATGGGTACGATCATGGTTGGAGTTAAGGTAGACTGCCAAGTGGGCAGAGGATGCTACAAAACTGCCAGCACTTGGGAGGCTGATGTTGAAAGTTCCGGAGTTCAAGGTTAACCTGTGCTGCAGGGAATGATACTGTCTAAAAGATAAATGAAAGGAAAAATGCAAAAAGCACACCAAAATCTGCAATCTTCTAGATTGTTTTTAATATGTGTTTAATAATTCCAAGATGTCATGCACATTTCCTATTTCCAGATCTGTAGCAGAATTGTGCTATTATTTATTATTATTATTTCTTCAAGGATAGATTCTAAGGACAATGGAAATAAACACAAGTAAAGCAAAAAGTAAATAAATGGTAGTAAAGTATCAGGAATTTCCTAAGAGGAATAAAATAACTTCTACTATATTGTTACATGCAAAGGGTATTTAAAGCCTCTGCCCATTTTATTTGACCTAGTTTTAAATGGGTCATTCAAAAGCAATGATTTCATTAGAACTTACAAAAAACTTCAGGAGTTCTCTGCCTAATGCATTGTAGATGTTTTTAGTTTAGCAGTTGCTTTGCAAAATGCAAACCACATGTCCCTGAAGTTCAGATATCTTTGTTAAAGTAATTAATCAGCCCAATATCACTTGGAAATAGAAGTCTTCCCATGACTCAGTAATGTGACTGTAGACTTCTAGTACTGTTTCGTAAGATTTGGGGAACTGGGAGAAGGAAAGAGACAGTAGTGATCCCGTCTAAAACCAGGAGATGCAAAATCAAGATCAGTGGATAAGTTTGAGACTAACTAAAATAACTTTCTGCAATGATGGTCAATGGCAATTTTGTTTGGAATTCAGAATTATCAGAAATGAAAAAAGTTGTATAGCAGAGTCAGGATGTTCATTATGCATTTCAGGACATCTCAGCTATGTAGTGAGTTCCAAGCCAGCCTGGTTACAGAGTCTCAGAAACAGTATTATCTCACACTTCCTAGTCTTCACCAGAAATCTACTGTAGGTTTCTCCTTGGTGTGAGTTGGAGTAACTGGCATGGCTTGTATAAGTTTTGAAAAACAAGATATTTTATTTTTTCATCTAATAAAATGAATGTAATTATTCTGCTTCATGTAAAATGGCCTCCCTGCTCAGATCCATAGCCACATTTGACATCCTTCCAGCCTTGACTGGTGATCACCTGTACGTTTCCAGGGCAAACCATCTTCCTATTGTGATTAAATGTAAGGGGCCCACCTGATTACTGGCCAGATGCCAAGTCAATAAGCACAACCAGGGTCAAATACATTTGCAATGTGCAGTCAATAAAGAATGTGTCATTGGAAACAGTTTGGAAAGTGGTATTCTCTAACAAAAAATCCAGGACTTTACTGAGGAAATGATGCATCTTCGTATAAGGAAGACTCATCAAAAGCAGTAGACATATCCAAAGTATCTCAGTTTGAGGTCATAATCACGAGTTTAAAAATGGTAGACACCAGTGCCTGTGGACAGATAGTTTCTTATCATAATTAGTAAAGTTCATACTAAATCATTTAAAAAGCCGGTTAAAATGATTGAATTATGCTGGTTCATTCTGAGTTTCTCCAGACAGGCTTAGCTAAAGCATAGAAAGAACTTTGCATTTAGCAGTCTTTGAAGAAACACCCCTTACCCCAGAACATTTAAATACCTGTCTCTGAATACGCTAGTAGTATTTTATATTAAGTATCAGTAGGCATTTTGAAAGGAAAAGGATGATAGGTGGTAAAGAGAGATATTCCTGAGTGTTGGGATGGGAGGCACTTTTAGAATTTTAAATGCATCTTTGTTTTCTACAGAGTGAAATCAGAAGTTCCTGCGAAAAATTGTGTTTTAATTTCTTTTAAACATAGAGGCCATGAATTGTTTCATTGATGAATTAAGTAGTCTTAAAGGATCACCAATGCCTTTCAAGTGGGATGATTTAGCTGCCTCTATCCTACATATTATAAAGTAAAATTATTTAGTACTGCATAATGGTCGCTTATGCTCAAGTGATGGTTTCTGTTCAAAGATGGTGACAAATCTCCCAGAACATCTCCTGATTGTTGGCAATTGAGTATCCTTTGGGGTTCATGAATACTTTCTACTCACTTTAGAGTTATGCAAAGAACCCATATGCATATTAAACAACTGAGGTCATTTCAGAATTAGGGGTTTGCTCCATTGTAACTCAACACACTTAATATTTAATATTTAATTTGATATCAACATTTGTATTTATTTTGTTTTTTTCCTGTTGTTACTGATGCTTGATTTTGCTTTGTTTTGTGGCAAAGAATGATAAAATGAATGTTGAAATGATTTATTAACTGTTAAAATTCAGAATATATAGGTTATAAAAAGTAATTAACAGATTAAGTAGGAAAAATTCTAACCACAACTTCTATAATGAGTCTGTATTTTGAGTGTCTTAAATGACACAAAGCTGCAAGTTTTATCTATTTGGTTAACACTGTAACTACTAAAGCCAGATAATATGTTCCCAGTTTTGGTGAGGTTATTCTCAAGCATGTGGGTGGATGTTTCCATCCTCCAGAGGCAGCAGCTCTAGGATGCTGGGATATTTAAAAGAGACCTCTGTAACAGAGCCCAGTAGGTTGTTTTCAAAACAGAAAAGAAAAGAGAAAAGCTGGTAAGGGGTGGAAGAGGAGTTGGAGAAGGGGAGTGAGGGTCAATTTGATCCAAATGCATTGTATGAATGTACGAATTCACAAAGAATAAATAAAAAAATGATAGTTTAAGGAAAGGACAGTGTCTCCCATTTTCAGCCTAGATGCCTGATTTTCTTAGCAGAGCCAAGGTTATATTATGACACTCAGCATGATCACCACAGCTCCTTCCTTCTGAAGTAAATACACATGGATTATAAGATCATAGATTTAATATAACAGATGAATGTATAAAAATTAGTAGCAAAATGCATGCGTATAAACAACAGAAAATTCTAGAGGGGAAGCCAGTAGTGTGACTCTGCTTAATAGTCTCATATATATAATTAAATATATTTTATATATTTATTGTATATATATATGTAATAAAAGTAGTCACACATTCTTATATAATTAAGAAATGGCTTGTTTGGGGATAATTCCTTTATGTATGGGGAGAAGATGCCTTGCTGATGCGCAGATCCACATTGGGTATACTTTGGTTGATGTTAGAGGTTGATACCTTAAGTTTCCTTTGCTTACATTGTCAGTAAGCAACTTTGTTCCCACTAATATAGTCTTTCCTTCCAATACTAATATTACTCAGTAAGATTAATTATTACTACCAATTATTCTTTTTTTTAAGAATTTCATATGTGAGTACAATATGTTTTCATCATACCCATTTTCCCTCTTCAGCTCCTCCCAATTCCTCTCAACATTCTCTTCTACATTAATGCTGCCTTTTCTATAATTATTGTTAATACATATCAATAATATGTATCATATATATTTATTCCAGTTGGTGCTGATGATACGTGTGCACTCATGTAGGCCTGACTACTTGGGCTAGGTTAACCTATCAGGAGTCTCAACCCTGAAGAAACTGACTCTGTCTCAGAAACCAAGTGCCTGTAGCTCTTCTCATTAGGGTCAGGCTTTACAAACCCTTCTCCAGTCCATGCTGTAATGTTTACTGCTGTGGTTCTATTCAGGCAACCATACTGGTAAGAAGTTACAGGCACAGCATCCATGTCATGTCAAGAATATAATATTTTTATCAGTCCTCTTGGTCCTTTGAGTATTACTGTCTTCCAAGACACTCTTGAATTTCAATTAACATTTCAATTAACTATTATTATAAATCAAAAATCTGACCTCTAGTTCACCCAGCTCTTACAAGTGTAGTGAATTTCATTAGTCAATTGTTTATCTGAAATTGACTTCTCTATATCTAGAAATTATAACGACTATATAAACATTAATATTAATTTGTAGGAAGGAAGCCAAGGTGTAGGACATTTTCTTTACACAAGTCTCTGGGACTTGTAGGCTCGTATCTCTAAGACTCCATGTTTGACAAATGTATGCTCACCCTGGTCACACTGAGGCCACTGCCACCTGTATCATTGGCTCTTCATGCTCATATTCCCCTTAGCATAAGAATCAATAGGAAACTAATAAATAATGTCTTGTTAATGTTGATACACATGTCATGAAGTCAAATAAAATATAAAGCTCCCAAGCTCTAACTATTAATCATTTTGTTAAAATTTAGGTGATATTGTAAAGATAAGTAATGCACAGTAGACTATAGTAGTGAG